AGAACTTTTAACATATTGATTAGTTCCAGTAGTTTTAACTGTCAGAATGATCAAGTCTCATGCTTTGTGTTGAAATGAGGTGTGATTCACAGACTAGTTGATCAACCTTCACATTGAGAGTGTTTTAGCGCTGTGTTTGGCCATGGTCTGTTTAAAGAGCATGCATGTCTTTTTCAGCACTCGTCCTTCATTCACAGAGGATTAGTGCACTCACACTTGCTGTGCAGTAGAACCACAGTGCACTACTCTGATTGACCAATTCATTGGAAATTCAAGAGTGTTGTATGTATTCAGCTTCATAAAGCAGTACACAGAGTATTTCAACTTCATAAATCACGAAGGGCGAGGTCTGTAAACTCCAGTCAAGCCCCTGGGACAGCCCCCCCCCCCTTGACCATTTGAACTATGATGAGTAGATATTGCTTCATTTTAGGATACAGTTTGAATTTCACTCTTTGACTCCGAATTCTCCTGTGTGTACTAAGGTCAACCCACCAGACATCAGAATTTTGTCATACTCTAATTGTGTGGATTCAACACTTTTGTGACCAGGTGTGCTTTACATCAAAATATTAAGGATTCATTGTAATGTCTTGTGAAGTTGCATCTAAAAGACATTGCCATGTGAAGAGTGAGATTGTCATTGCTAGTTTGGAGATTTGAACCTGTAATTATTGCTGACACCTACAGTATTTCAAGATATTGGGCCTTAGGATTTCAGAATTAATCTGAATCAGGCCTTTTTCTTTCAGTTTATTGAGAAATAAGTAAAATCTTTTGTTGTTGTGACAACTTTGCAGACTACATGGTAGCTAGCAGTGCAAAGCAGATGCTCGAGGGAAGCGTTGACTGTTGTTGCTGTAAACTCAACCACAGGGGTTGCTGCCCTGTTGCAAGGGGTTGAAATATATTAACTTGCACCATAAGTTGTTTTATTGTTCAGAATATGTTCTCCGTCTTGTTTAGAAATCATGAACTCAACTGAGGCTCATACAGTGCTGTTTAAAAAACAGAAGAAACGCAGTGTTCCCAGTAGACTATCAGCCATATTCAGAATTGAGAATTTGTTTAATTATATTTGAGACGAACTGACTATAATTAGAAAGCTGTAAATTGGAGAGGTATCAGCAATAAGTCAGAATTACTCTAAGCTGACAATAATCACGTAGGAGAAGAGTATTCTTTAATTAAGGCTCTGTAGGGGAAAATAAAATGTATAGCGCGTTTTAATTATGTATTCCTATTTTCCAGACTTATGACTTACCAGACATGCATGACAGCTGATAATAAATGACACAGTTTACATGTATTCAGACCCAGTTAATTCCCAGCATGTTGCAGTCAGGTGATATGTAGACGTAGTATCTGTAAGATTGGGCTTTATAGACATTTCTGTTGTTATGCTCGCCCAGTGCGCTGACAGGCAAAAACCCGCTGAATGAGACAGATGGGGTGGGGGGTTGGAGGAGAGCGGCTGTGAGCTTGTCAAGACATGATGCATTGTGTACGTCGTGGGAAATGGGTATTCTTCATTTGAAAGTCAATGCCACAGCTTAGACGTGCTCCAGGGAATTTAAAACCACGAGCCAAAGTTATGATGACACTCCCTGGGGAAGTCCAGAGAAAACTTCCAGACTGTTTCTGTCTCCACTGCTTTCAAGGCAGATAAATAAGACTTGGACTACTCAAACATGCACCCTCTTACTCTCACACACAGTGACTTGTACTGTATAGCCTGTACACTTATATGACATGCACATACTAGAGCTGTCAGTTAAATTAAGAACCAATTTCCCTAAAAGATATCTCATATTTTCCAATATAAATGAATTTAGCTTTTAGGCATTTATTGGGTGAACTTTCACTTTGAATAACATCATTTAATGAGTAATACAATTAGTTTCCAGTTCATTATGTACACCTATATGCAGTCTAATTATAGAAATAGAATGTGAGTAGAACGGACATTGAACTTTTTCCACATTTGACCAGTACAAAAGAAAATGGCGATTGTTGTTATGGTGACAACACACGTCAGTGGGGCCGTAAAGTGTTCTCTAGCTAGGCTGGCTAGTTAGCTACGTAGCTTGTCATTTTCCCAGCGCTGCTGCTGAACGGCAGCCTGCTGTCCGTCTTGTTTTTCTGTAACCAGTGTAGCATTAAAGCATAGTGGACTTAGCAAGCTAGCTAACTAGATAGCTGCAAGTTAGCATATTGAGTCCACCATGTTTTAATGCTACACTGGTTACAGAAAATAATAAAAACAAAGTCAAACAAAGCAATGTGCTTTATAGACTGTGACAAGTGTGCGGTTGAAGAATTAGGTTGTTAAATGTGCTGCTAGTTTTTGTCATTACTGCAAAACCTCACCTCAGTGAGTCCAGTACTTGCTGGAAGTTGGTTTGGTTTATATGGATGTTGGCCCGCTACAAAGGTAGCAATGCTAAAAGCTATACTAAAAAAATCCCACCTCCACCTTCAAGGTTATACTCCAGTTTTTGTTAGAACATTTTAGAGAGATGTTGATTAAATGTCAGTCATATTTGATTCACTGTTGCCTCATTTCCATCTGTGTAATTTGTCATTGTGGCAGAAAGCTCTATTAACAGTGATGGTGCACAAAATTAAAAGAAAAATAGACCCAATGACAAGGAAATTAACTGGCCACAAAAACAAAAACGAATTCTGGTGTGCAACAGGAATAATTTAATTTTGCATTATTCAATTCCACAAAAAATACTTTTGCTCTCTTTCTAGAGGAAAGCATAGTTTGCGGTTGAGGAACTGAACTCTGAGCTCCTAGTAAGGTTAATAATGAGTCGGTAGTTGAAAGAAGTACAACTGTAAAGTTATTTGTAGAAGTTGTGACTGATCATAAAGAGTTAAACGTCTGCAAAGAGCTGTACTGTATGACGCACTTAAACTTCTTAAAACTGTTCATATGTCTCCGACACAGCATCCTGCAAAAATTAGTCCATTAATAACCCATTTAACACTGGGACGCCGCAAAGAAGTTGATTGATTGTGCTAGCAGATATGGTAATCCACCTAGTGTGGCTAAAAGACTGTGTTAGCAGAGCAGTGGAGCAGCAGCAGCTGCAGGCAGGGCTCCTACCTGGATCTGGAGAGTTTAGAAATGCATAGAGAATGAATGTGGTCACATTAAAGAGGCAATAAGTACGATTTTTAGTGCCCCATAGCGTAAAACGACCATTATATGTCTGCAGGGGGTTGCTAAGGCGCTTGATGATTAACAGCGTTTTAACAATTACTTTGCCAGGTTCAGAGATCTTTTGAATTTCTCGACTCGTACTTTGGAACTACAACTCCCTGCCCACTGGATTATCAAGGCCCTTTCAATGCCCCCTTCCTACTCGACAGACAGAGAAAGGAGTGAGGGAATGGTTGACGAGGCATTTCATTTACAAAGGCTAATGGCTTTGTTCTGAAGGAAAATAAGCTGAAGACCAGGGCTTAAAGCAGCATCATTATGCTGGCTAGTTGCATAGAACTTGTGCATACATTTCTTTGTAGATATTTCCTTTAAATATTTGTTCCAATTAGCTGCTTTATTTGTCTTGGTTGTGAAAATATGACTTTAATGTTTCTGTAAATTAAACTGGGCGAGGTGGATGGATGGGTACAGAAGGTGGTTTAATTCTACCGTTGTCTTTGACGAAAAACAGATTTTTTTGAATGTCAATGTTTTTAGGTTAAGCAAAAGTCTGGAATATGGGTGTTGAATATGGCAGACAATTATATGCACACCCAAGCTGTTGATGTTTGTTCTTCTAATTGAACATTTATATTTTTATCAGCATGAAACATATTCTGTGCCCAGTTTTTCCATATCTGTTCAAGAAAAATAAATATGAAAGGCTGGAGTTTCAAAGCACCAAATGTGTAGGGAATCTGCAGGCAGCTCGGAAAGGCAATAAAAGTCACGAAAATAAAGTTTCAGCGTTCCCTCTTCGGCCGACACATCACAGCGTCAAGTTGCTCTGCCGGCACCACCTCCTGACCTCCGTTGAATAGCACGTGGGCCCACAGAGCTGCCACAACAGTGCCGTTGTTGTCTGACTCAGTGTCACTCCAGAAGAACCAAGAAGCGGGGTCACCATCCTGCTGTCAGTCATCTCCTCCGCTGAAGGATGATGAGCAGGCGCTGGTGGCTTGACACGGCTCAGAAAGTACAGCTCAGTGTTTGGGCGTAAAAATCCACAAGTCAAGTCGAGTCAAATTATTTATAAAGCGCTTCTAACAAAGGGGATTTTTGCAACGTGATGCACAAAGAACTGAAGGCATAAATGCAGAGCGACGGCGAGGGATACAAAATAAGAAGGAGCAAACACATTGCAGATTTGAACATAAAGCTTGTGTGCATGTGTTTTTGTATTTGTGTATGTGTTACACTTACACTTTTTACTTTTTTGGACATCGCTGTTTCTGGGACACAGACGTTTTCACAGGGCATGTTTTTTTTTCTTCACACAAAGAGTGTTTTGTTTAATGTTGTGCAAAGGTCAAACTCGTTTTTTCATATGGCACAATGAATTATTGAAAATGCAGTTATATCGGAGGGGGAAAGTGAATATTCTCGCTCTGTTAAATAAATATATTTGGGCTGCAGCTCCGTGAGGGTGTGAGGAAACTGTTTAAGAAGTAATCTCACCGCTTCATCACAGTTGCTTGACTTAGACACTCAGACTAATTAATCCAAAGCCCTCACTTTAATTGCCTTAATATATTGGCTCTTTGTCTTCTTTATCTTGATTTTCTCATGACGTCTATTTCCCCTTAATTGATTCAAAAGGAGATCTAATCTCCACGCAGAGTGTGGGGCATGTATTGATAGCTTTATTTTAAACCAACGACAGTTTTGCGTTTCCCCATTGTCTACACTAATTACTGCAGACTTGATGTATTGTCTTGGCCAAACGGTATCGAACCTCCAGAGGTTTGGAGAAGAGCACTCACCTTTCTCGTTTGGTTTTTGACAGGAAAAGACCAATGAAGACAGCCGGATGGTGGTCGGCGGCAATTTTACTGTTGGGCCTCGCTGTGCTCGGCGCAGACGGGAGACCCAACAAGGAGGGACTCAGGTCGCCGCTCTATCGACCAGTCGTGAGATTCCGACACAAGGTATTGATCGCCGCCCCTTTTCATTGGCCGTCCATATCGAGAGGCCTATGTGCTTTTGCCAAGTATGAAAGTAATTACAGTGGCGCTTTTCTTCTTCCGTCAGATGACTCTCCTGTGGTTGTTGTCTTTATTCTGCCCACTGAAAAATACTTTGATGAATCATTATCCTCCCTCTGTGCCAGGGGACTGTCTTTTTAAAGACAACATCGGATTAATCCGAGGCTCAGCTGAGCATAGATGAAAATCAGCTTTGAGTGAAGTGAGGAAGTTCGCATTTCATTTTAGCTCGGCGTTTAAGGTAAAAGATACAATTTAATGCTTATTGACCCAGCGATACAGGGCACATCTGCTGCTTGTATTAATCACTTGGGCTGCATCTCAAGGAACAAGTTACATTTTCCCCCCTCTAAACTTGTAGCATTATGTGGATCAATTAGCATCAGACTGGGATAGAAATTGACTGTTTTGGCAGACGGGGGGACTTCAGGGGACATCAAGTCTTTTGTCAAGAGGCATTAGTGGGATTGTTGTCCTTCAGTACACATTTACCATAAGCCTCCTTTTCAAATTTTGTTCACTAGTAAACACTTCTCCTCTCTATAAAATCCAAGATAAAAAAATTAGCAGTGACAATAAGTGCTTTTATTTTAAAGCAATCTGTCATCTTCAGACTAAATATTGCATTTAGAATGTGTTCCGGCCAGCTTTAGTCACGTCTGCTTGGGAATGAAAAGCAAAGACAGTGGTAGTGAAGGGTGAGTGGGCTGAGAGATGGAGAGCGAGATGGAGAGGGATACGGAGGAAACAGATGGGTAGGAGCGTCGCTGGACTGTAGCGGAGTTGAGCGAGGAGCCGGGAGCGATGGAAAGCTGTTGAATCTACACAGTGGTCAAACACATTTTGACCTTTATAACAAGATTTATTTAGAGAGATGCTTTCCAAACACGTAGACTGCACAGATCAGCTATGTGAGAGGTCTGCTTCTTTCCGTCCACAGCTACTCTGGAAATGGTGTGTGTAAAGGAAGTGAAGAGATATAAACTTCAATACCCAAAGAATCCTGTAATATGATCACGGTAAACTGCAGAGATAGGACTTCTGCCAGACTGGGATGCTTTATACCAAAGGGAAGTGAGAGAGACAAACTGCCTGGATGGTCTTAAAGGGCCAGATCACTGTTTTTCTACCTCATCTCTGTGTACAGTGTGGCAGTTCACCATTTTTGTGTTAATACTTTTCATTACAGCTCCAGATCTGAAATATCCTGTGCTTAGGATCCAGAAAACAAATGCGCTTTCTAGATTTCATCATCTCACGGTTTCATCTTGTGAATTCAATGTTTTTGAGTCTGGTGGATAAAATGTTTCTGTCTCTTGTGTTCATACCTTTGGGTGTAGGATTTTGGGTATAGATTGAGCCCTTCGATACCACGAAGTGTAACTGATTTGAAGTGTCTTGCTACTAGAATTTTATTTCAAACTATGGCGAATCTACAGTTTCAGAGTTTGCCTCAAAAACATAATTCCTTCCATTTTTTAAGTTTAAAAAACATCTTCTGTTTAAAAATCATATGAAGGTTTGATTTTGAAGGTTGTGTAAATAATGCATTACATTCAAACAGTTCATTTTGACTTTTGTGCCCTTCTATTAGCCTGGTTTGGAACCAGAATAATTAAAGTAATGTACGTCCACAAGTAGCGGGAAGTTGACGAGAAGCTACAAAAATGATGTATGTGCTCTTCCACTCGAATGAAATGAATGTGCCTACTACCACTGTGATTACATCGCAGAGGAATGTCATTACAGCATCTGCATACCATTACAATCCATCCTGCGAGAGGACAGAGGTAAACTCCGCTCATCTATCCTCTGTCACAAGAGGGCTGTGGAAATTTACAGCGGTTTGGTGAAAAATGGCCACATTGCCCAAAATATGTCATCAGCCTTTTTGTTGCTTAAGAGAATCTTCGCCGCTGCCTGTCGGCTGGATTGCTGAGAAGCTCGGGTCATCCACTTGTCAATACAGTTAAATGAGCAACATTAAATAATAGTTGTTTTTAAAATTAGATATCCACAGATTGTAGAAAAACAACGGCAAGTTTCAGAACATGGCTTACAGCTCAGATTTTTACTCAACTTTTTCTAAATGACATAATTCCTTGAGTGCATTTTCCACATCTGCACAAAATGTGCCGATCGTCCTTTGAGCTCACTGCCACAAGCTGTGATCCGCCAGTGGCCGTGTTAATGCGATGCCTTTTCCTTCTCTTTGAAGGACAGTGCTTGACAAGGGTAACGGGATCGTACACAACCTTTTATAAGCTTTCCTCACAAAGACTTCAATCACGAGGAGGCACTCGGCCATAAACAGCTGGTCACATGGTCTACCCGTAAATTCACTGTGAAATCCTCCGCATGGGGTCGGGAAAAGGACACAGATCTCGGCCACCAGAATCCAGTCCTAATTATAATTCATCGTTTTGGGAAAACCACTTTAAAGTTACTGCTCTGTAGCTTCTATTACATTGAGATTTGATTTCATACAGTCGAGGTCTTTCACGACGAGTTTCACCGTAAGAGTGATGGAGAGACTGGCTGTGTAATAGCAGCGGCTAGACTTGCTCCGCACGAGGGACAAAAGCGATTTCTGTGAGTTTGTCCCTCTGACATCAAGCTGTTATGTCAGGACAAACAAAATGGAGGCAAGGGCAACTGTGTGAAGAGCCCCATCCATCCAGCACTGGCTTGGCCACATGGCAAATCTAGATTAACAGGGGATGAGAGAGAGAGAGAGAGAGAGAGAGAGAGAGAGAGAAAGAGAGAATGAGAGCGAGAGAGAATGAGAGAGAGAGAGAATGAGAGAATGAGTGGGAGGGGGCCGGGCAAATGAGATTGAGATAAAGAGACATGGAATGGGAGAAATAACAAGAATAAATCGTAAAATTCACAAGAGCTTAATGTACAGTAGTTCCAGTTAAAGCTGCAATAGACAATGTTTGGCTCAAATGTGACTGTCAGCATTACTTCCACCCTCCTCCTCCTCCTCCTCCTCCTCAGCTGGTCAGTGTTAGCCCCAAACCTTGTCAGTCATCTTGATGAGCTGTCTACTTTCAAATGGCAGCCAGCCGGAGGCTGAGGTAACCAGCTTCCGTAAAGTCTCCACAGGGGCTGATGAAGCAGACGCTGAATGGAGCCAATCTGCTGCAACAATAACAAGATGTCCATGCTGGTGTCAAACTGTTCAAGTCTTTTCTGCTGCTTATTTTCTGCTCTTAATTGTCTGGTTACTATTTGATTCTTGTTGTTAATATGATGACTTTTGTTGGTCAATGAAAGGGTCTGCATTGGTATGCGTGTGTTGCCAACAACGCACAACTCCTATTGGGTACATGTGCTGGATGAAAAACAGCATTCAAAGTAAAATGGGAGGTTGTCTGCAGATTTATATTTCAACGCGTGCTCATACAACGGTTCGTATGATATCTTGCAAAAAGTATCTCGTCTTTTTTTGTGTGTTTCCCCTATGAAAGTCATTAACACGGGCAAATGTCTGCTCGTTACATGCAAACATCAAAATCAACTTCTGTCTTCACAGGAAACTACTTAGTTAAAAACCTACATTACGCAAGTTACTGTACATGATAAATAACTCATCGTTGACTTCTCGTTTCACATCGGGGAACGAACAGCTGTCTCCTGGCTGAAAGAACCGCTGGTTGTTGGACCCATCTACCTCTCCTCCCCCCTGCCCCGTCTGTGCTTTTGCAGTCTTTATACTTCTTTATATCTGCTAATACCTGGATAATATTTGACATCATTTCGTGGGATATCTACGATTTACGGAGCATTATTTCTCGTAGGTATAGCTACGAATGCCTGGATATTTACAAGCTTTCAAGATGTGTTTAATTAATGCAATATTTTGACTTTCACTGTCTGTCTGATAAGAACTTTAGACTTTAAAACTCTGCCATTCTATGAGTAAGGATTTTAAAACCAATGTAACTTTTTTTAATGATTGTGAAGTAAACGGCAGCATAACTGTGTTCACATTACAAAGTAATCTACTTGGAACCTGCTTTTCCATGTCTTTGGTTTTACAATTTTTGGTCCAGAGTCCTCCGCATCAGCACCTGTCACATTGAAATGAAATGAGGGAGCTGTGTAGTTTTCCCACCATCTATCGGTATGAACTTACAGATAGATTCAGCCTTGCTGATCGGCCGTCTTACTGTAAATTCAACTCTCTTGTCATACAGGCATGTTGCAATTTGCAGTTATATGTTTCAAGTTGATTTGTACTTGGAAGTGGATGGTGTGGAGGAGTGAGGGATGTGGGATCTGAAGTAGGAGAAGGAGAGGAAAAGGAGGAGGGCAGTGGAGGGAGGGCGGGTGAGAGATAAAGCAAGAGAAAGATGTGGGCGGTCAGCCAGCCAGCTGTGACAGGGTCAGATGAACCTCAGGTTGTTCAGCTGGGTGCTTCATCGTCCCCAGAGTCTCGGGGCAGCAGAGACAGGCCCGCCAGTGGCCCTGGGGAAATCACTCTCTTCAAACAAATGAAGTGTGAACACTGTCTGCCATATGCAAATAGGCCCCATTTGACATCTTGCCTACCTGTAGTGCAATTCTGAATGTCACCTCCTCCAGAGGGAAGAGGGATACGAAGAATGTCAGGGAGCCATAGGTGCTTTTTGTGATTACTAGGAAACAATATTTTGTAAGACATCGCGAAAGATGATCATTATCTTGTCATGATGTTTAACTTGGTTGTCTTTTTAGTTCCATAATATTTTTTCAACTTATTTTTTAAGTAAGCTTATGGTAAAGCCGGGGAAGTAGTGTCTTTTCACCTGTAGGGATTTTTCCGGACATTAATGTCATTCGACGTTCAATAGCTGTGACTGGTTTGCCTCTGAATATGAAGGGGGTCATTCCAAACATATACGACTGCTATTAATCGTCTTTTAATCATTTTAGTGCTGAAACGGAAAGTTGATTAATTTATGAGTTGATGAAACTATTTATCAAACAATCTGCTACAATCTATTACCTGCTGAAGTAATTTATCAATCAAAAATGAGGAAAATAAACCTTCAAATGTCAATCTTCTCAAATGTAGGACTTTGGTGATTTTGTCTTTTCTACATTGTTCAAAATGTCCAATTAGAAGACAATCAATCAATCCATCTATTGAAAAGGTAATTGAGAGATAAATCAATTAGAGAATTGTCGCAACTAGAGCTGAACGATATAAGAAATTAATCAAATTGTGTTTAAAAATAATGTTTTTAGACCAATATTGAGATTGAAATTCAGGATATAATTAAAAAGAAAAGTTCTGTGTCATTCATTATACACAAGTATTAAATCATTCTATAGTATGACTAACACAACATTGGCTACAGTCAACATGTAAACTGCTTCCATATAAGCTTTGTCTACGTGATGAAATGACATGAATAGATTCATTAATTGACTAGAATAACATATATATATATGTTTTGAGTCAGATCTCTTGGATACTTTTATGTAATAATAATATATTATTATCCATACATGTTTAAAGAAGAAAATACTGTTCCTTGCAAACCCAGGGTTTAAGTAATCTGCTATTTTCCGTAAGTAGTCACGGACCACTGTTCATTATTGACCGTAGACCTGTTGCATAATGCATCTTCTCTAGAACACCACCGTGCTCAAGTTTGAATGTTCCGTACAAGAACAAGAAAGATGAGCTATGCAGATTTCACTGTAGAGAAATCAAATATTAATGCCTCTTTCTTTGTTTAGTATTCATGGTTTTGTGGAGAGCGGCTACTCAGAATAATAGCCCAGATAACAGCGTTTTCTACAACCGGCATCAATATGCATGCTCCAAATGCAGCTGACTTTATAGTGCACCTACTCAAGTGGTCATGGTTATTTGCTCTTCTTTATGTGCTTCTACACTGTGATTTCCATTATTTCTTTCTTTTTTTGGTCGGTGAGAAAAAAAAATGAAACTGCAAATTTGTGCAAAAAAGTGGTGCAAGAAGCCTCAGAAGGCATAGAAAAAGAAAGTGAAAAGGATGAGTTAGATAGCAGATCCTAAAGGAAACTATCATGTTTGAGTTCCATGGATTGCTATGATAAGATATAGGAGTGGGGAATATGAAAAAAATATATCATTTGCAGGAGAAAAGGTTGCATACAAAATAATGAAATAAACTGAAAATATCCTAGAATATTCCTAATGTGAGAAATGCTGCTTTTCACTTAACCTTAGATAATCATCATTAACCTGCTCGCCCTTCTATTCTTTATTTATATATCTCTCTCTTTTTGTGCATTAACACAAACAAAAGTGTTAATGCACACAATTATATGTTAATGCCAAAGAAAAAGAAAAAAAAAAGACCAGTTGAAAGGATCATCATTGTGCATGTAAATGAGGCAAATTACCACTTACGGTAATGGCATGTTAATATCTAACTCGTGAGTGCATCATTAGTCTCCATTCAAACAGACGACACTACATTGAGTCAGACAAGTTCTTGCTCTCAGAGTGAAAGCCTTTGACTCTAATGTCATGCCAGCACTGACATATGATCTCCGTTGAACACCGATCGTTCTAAGTAGTGTATAAAATACAATTTCTGTGGTACAATCGGCAACGATTTCACTACCTCAGCTAAATGGAAACATGTTGTTGATGCAGTGATCTTGTATTTTATCTTAACTCTGATCTCTTCTCCTCTTTTCTTTCTGCTCTTGTTCCTGCAGGATGGGATCCCTGATAGCTTGAGGATAAAGGGTGAGTTTCCGTCTCTCATTTCCTCCTCTTCCTAACTCTCCTAATGCAATTTACAGAACCAACGTTGTACATCATGCACGTTCGCCGTATAGGGTTGTTGTGTGATGGAGGCCACGGCATGGCTCAAGCACATCTGCTCTAGTATCATTTGGACTACCCATGTTTTAAATGATTCATGCAGGTTTTCTTCTTAAATAGAAAGCAACAGAAACCACCGGTTACAGAGAGCACCGTTAACCAAATAATATCCACTTTAGGAAACACATTAGGGAGCACAACACGCTATCATTTTCTTTTTTTCCCGCTAAATGCGACGATCTCAGCAGATATTTTAACCACAGTCAACCAACCGTGCTGTAAACATTTGCCATGGTGGTCTCTGCTGGTTTTCACTTTACTTATAAACGCTTGATGAAAAAAGCACAATGCAAGCTTCTTAAGGTGGAATCAAATAGCCACTGACACACGAGGACAAATGGTAGTTTATAGATACAAATGTGTTGTGCTGTAACATGCTTGAGTCATGAAAAAGCTTCAACAGATTGTTGTGGTTGAAGCCGCCCAAGACCTCAATATCAATATCGTATCCTCTCTTCAACTTCAGTACGGCCAGTGGTGAAACAAGTGGAAAAAAAAGGGGGGAGAGATCGGACCTCAACAATGTATTTTACATGAAGCTGTGAAGGACATTCGTGTCTACCTTCTCTTCCCACAGCATTTTTTGTATCAGTTTAGCAGCAGTGTAGTTGCCAGATATACAGTATATCTCAGTTAATAACAATGATTTTATTTATAGAGCACCTTTAAAAACAAAGTTCACGGAGTACTTTGACAGACAAAGCTAAGCCAAAGCATGATACAACACATTATAACAACAGAAAGCCGAACAGTGGGCCAAACAAAAGCAAGACAAACTTTGCAAGATTTAAACACTGATCAAACAGTAAAACAAAACAAATCGATGCAAATAATACAAATAAAAGAATAAAGAGAGAAAAAGCAAATAAATGCAGTAAAAAGACGGCATCACATAAGTGATGATAGCGGTTTTGTGCAATATACTTCTGTGTGTAAAGTCTAAAATAAGGTTTTGTGCTTTGGATCTTTGTAAATGTATATTATTAATATCTCAGTAATTAGTCAATTTATAGTTGTAGTAGGTAGTTACTGTAGTTATACTGTGTACACTAATATTTTCCTCAGTACAAGCTATGTGTTAAGAGTTTTGCATTAACCTTTTAACCGATAAAAATGAATCAGAATGATTACTTGACTTCAATTTTCTCAGGACACTTCTTGAATTCACTACTTACAGGGTTACAGGTTACAGACAGTTACAGGGTAACAGCATTATAGGGCAGCATTTATTCACCACGGTCTGAACTTACACATACAGCTATACAGATATAATGTTACTGTCAACTTCATATTTACTGTCAGTCACACATACACACACACACACACAGTCTCTCTCCCTTTTGACACTTGCACACAGCCTACGCACTGAGTATAACACATTCTAGTTAACAAAACACATCTTAAACATACATAATTCCCCGTTGCTTAGGCCCGGCGGGGAGTCAATTTAGGGGCTTGCAGTACACTGGCGGAAACCCAGAATTAATTATTGTGTTAGCTATAATTTACATCTACAGTGAAAATCTCTTCACACTAGTTCTCAAAATCTAAAAAAGTGTTTCATTCCAAGCTCCCAAATATGTGAAGTGTTTGACTTTTCTTTATTTTAAATCATTGTAAAGTTGAATATCATTTTTTGGGCTGTTGGTTTGACAAATTTAAAGTTATTTCAAAATGTCACCTTGGAAAACAACTGTGATGTTGTTATTATTCTAAACAATTTAATACTTTAAAACATAATCAATAGATAGATTAATCATTAATGGTCATGACCATCAGCTGCAGCTGGCTCCATTATCCCCAACCAGCTTCATCTACCGGTGTGGTACAAAGCAGGTGTGGACGCATTCATGCACCATGGTTCTCTTGCTGTTTGACAGGTGCATCTCATCTGTCAACCTGTCACCTTTCTAATGTCTTCCCTGTCTCCTCTAAACAAGAGTCAATGTCAGGCAAAGGTGATCTTTCTGTCCGACTCGCCTGCCACTAAGTGTCTGAAAGGGCCGCTAAATGGACGTCTCCCTATTTTTCTTCACCAGGGAAGGTCGAAGCAGTAATTGTAGAGGGTGTATTACCATAAAGGGCGGCCCCAGCTGTCTGCTGTGATTCACTTTAATGCGCGACGTAAGCCGAGAGGGGAAATCTCACTTTGGCCAGATTTCAGCAAACTCATTTCCAGCCCCGATAACGAGAAGGCAAGCGAACTGTAGAGAAAACCATAAATAATTCAAGCATCAACCCCGTACATTGGAGGCTTCTCATTATTACGCAACTGAGGTCAATTTAGCGTTAAAACGTCGATTTTACAAGCTGTGTCACCATCTACCTTTGGAATGGACATCTAGCAAGCCAAACTGAGGGGAGACACAGGAGAGAAAAGTTGCAAAAGAATTCCCGGTGGAGAAAAGGTAGAGGTTTAATTTGTGTTTCAAAACTCCAGCAGCGTACATTCGTTATGGTTCTGCCTAACATAAAGCAACTCCACAAGTCTAATATCTTTTAAGAAGCTATTTTAAAAGATTTTAACATACGTTGCTCCCTTAAAATCAAAACCAGTTCGACCAGATAGTCTGTTTTATTTGGGTGGTGTATTTCCTCTCGGTCTTGTTCCGTACTCAAACACACATAATTGAATGTGTTCAATTGTCTGAGACTGTAATATTCCTTGGCCTGTGATGGACCGGCAACCTGGCCAGGGACTACCCTGCCCCGATATTTCACTTAATGTGTGCTGCGACCCTGAAGAGGATGAGCAGTTTACAAAACGGATGGACGGATATTATATTCTCACATTTAATGTGGATGAGAAAACAAAAAAATAATTATAGATCGGGGGAATGCAGCGCCCTATAAACTCTAACTGAATGTCAGCACGGAGGAGACAAAGACGGACAAATGCCAGCCGTTTTGCAGGATGCTCTGTAATTGGAGTCCCAGAACGAGCGTGTGCCACACTAACCGGGCTTGTTATGCAGGCTGCAGCAAGACCTTGGGCCGCTGGTGAAATGCAATTTTACGGAATAAATAGACTGATTTAGCCATAAATATCTGATGGAGATAATCTTGCCTTCCTCATTACATCTAAATAATGTCAGCGATGGCAACACTGCTATGAAGGATGACCTGGTATGGTGTGCAAACAAGAGAGTCTGCCGTTATCGCTGGTGTTTACAGCCCATATTCAGTGTAGCAAACCCCTGTTATTTCAACATATGACACAATGTTTATGTTCTGCCTATATCAGGTTAAAGATGCTAAAATCTTTACCATTTATAAATCTTGAGTAAAACTAAAGTTATGAATATCACTCAAATGCTTTGCTGACATTATTTACATAAAACAGCTTTTTTTCCCACTTTTGTCAGGGTTTTTTATTTTGTTGTTTGACTTTGGTGGTTTGGTAGCAAGCAATGCACGGGAACTTGGCTTGGGTTTCGAGGAGTTGTAGCATTTATTCACCGATAAATAAACTGTACACACACTGCTACATTCACAGCTATAACTGTTCATTTCATACTCGTCGTCACACACACACACACACACACACACACACTCTTTCTCTCTCTAACAGACACTCGCTGATGTTATGCCCGGGCTTTCAATACACTAGCGGAAACCTGACAGAGTATGGTAGTCACCAATGTTCTTGTAGTCATGTTGATGTACAGGGATAGTGGGTGTGGTTGTCTCAGAGTAGTTTAAAAAGTACGAGTACATGAGCACAGTATTGGACACGATTCCCAATACTGCTATTGGTGCCTCGCTATATGATTTTGTTGATATTTTGAATACACCTATAATTCTTGGTGAGCCAGAAGTTAATTTTAATACTGGAGGAATCCAGCATTTTAATCAAAATTTTCATAACTGGAGGACATGCATGAACACGCAAAGGTCCATTGGGTAACCGGTGCAGACTTCTTCATGTATGTAAATAAGGCCACTGAAGAAAGATTCCCCCCGCGGACAGACTGCGATATCAGTCTCAAATAACAATCAAACTCCCTCGACTTTCCCCAATAATAATATGGTACAGCCTTTCAGGTCTGAACTCTGCAGAAGAGCAAGCATCTTATTTTGTTGCCTAGCACCAATGTTTATGTTTCTGTAATCTATGCCGTCTTCCATTCTTTCATTTACTGACATAATATATCAATTTGTATGCATAACAGCTGCCTCGCCCCCACCAGACCCAAGCCTGTAGATGAGCCACATTTGAATAATTCAGATGCTGCAAACACCAAGCTCTAAATTGTATATTAATTCTAAAATTACACACCACCCCCTGGGCCCGGGTTACACTTTTAATAACTCATCACAGAGCGCTGAATGCTGTGTTGCACTGCACTTTTTCTCACTCAGAATTATTGGAAGACTCCCCGTTGTTACACCTAGCCTTTCACTGTTTTGCTACAATTTAATTTGCAATGTCTTTCATACGGTGAGTCTTGATCAAGTAACTGTGGTTTCGCAGAGTGAGCAGTCTTTTTCTTCTGGGCGTGGAGAGAAGTCATTTTTTTTAAGAGAGGCTGTGAGACTGCACTGCACCATATGCGAGCACCATTGACAGACTTAGATGAGTTGCCAAGTAAAAAAAGCCTATAGGATTTTCCTTTTGAACTCCCACAGGAGTTCTCTGGCTAATTTTACACCCACTTATGCTCCTTGACCCACTAAGCCATAAGAGGACAGTTGTGTCTGGCCTAAATACTGTACAGTACAACTCTGTGACCTCCTGCGGGCAGAAAGCCGGCTATACCTTTCATGGTCACACTGCACTTCAGAGAGCATTAGGCGGTGCTTTCACTGCAGGTCTCCACGCTCAGTTTTAAATTATTGCTCATATTTTTTGTAGATGACGG